GGGGGGGGGGGGGGGGGGGGGGGGGGGGGGGGGGGTGCGCTATACTGACTTATCATTTTGTTTTTTTCCTTTGTGTTGCAGGTATTGACAGCCATGTGCACGATGTGTGACAAACTTTTCAAAAGGCACTTGGTGCATTTCTATCCGCATTTTACAAGGCTCATCTGTTGTGACCAGGTATGTTTCTTTTTTTCTTTTCTTTTTTTTTTCTTCTTTTTTTTCTTTTTTTCTTTTCTTTTTTAAGAAAAAGAACATTGTGATCAGCACCTCTACCTCTTCGGCCGTCTCAAAGCGACGTTCTGGCTGCCGTAGGCATCTCCGCCTCATCAGGGATTCAGCCTTTTTTCTCCCGTAAGCATCTCCGCCCCATAGTGAAGTGAACCTCCTGAAGTCCGCTGTTTAGCAAATTGCAAGTCCGACATCCACCATCCGCACTCGTGCGGTGGCAGTCCAGGCTGCTGCCGTGACTCCGTCCCAGTCATATCTAAGCACGCATCTGGTCATATAACCGGCCAGGTTCATGCTACCTTAGTGTAAATGTACCACCAGCGTAAGACCACCACCAGTTTATGCTGTTTTTTTAAAACGCCTCTGCACTATTTGCGTCGACGAAGTACCAGGGTGAAAAAAGAAAGTGAAAACTGGGCTGCAACCACTGCCTTCAGCGATGCCAATCAACGTATCCACATTCGGTTCATGCCGAATGGGTCGTGGTCGGCAAGCATTTTCTTTTTTGTAATATTTTTTCTTGGTACATCGAAACCTAGCCTACATCCCGGATTTTCTTGTTGGGATTTTTCACCAACGGAAATGAGAAGTAAAGTTGGGGTACTGTCCAACGAGGCAGAGATCTGCACGTTCATCCATAGCTGTATCTGGTCTCCTCCCTCCCTGTATGTTGCGAATCTGGGTAAGGCTGGCAGTCCAGGATATTTTTGTTTGTTGCAAGACTTTGTCTATTTTGGTTTGTCTCCTGCAGTTGTCTAGTTGCAAAAGATAAAAAATAAAAAGAAATTGAGGTTGGTGAAATGAGACTTGCTTTCTTCTTCATTCGCATGCATACAAACAGTTGGCATTCCACACTGGCGCTGGGCGCCCACACAAAGCTCAGAGATAAGCCGAGAACACAGTTCAGATCCAAATTCGCTTCCAACCAGCTATGGCTCAGGCGCCACACATCCTCTGTCCGACACTGTGTTCACCCAACTGTTCACATGCACTCGACCCTGGATCTCCCTGGATATCCCACACACATACACTCTGTAACACACACACACCCACACACTCTGACTAACACCTATCGCTAGCTATGGCAGCTATGGCCGCCAACTCCCACTATCTACAAGCAGCTATGGCTGCGCTAACTCCACCTCAGCCCACTTCGACTCCAGGCCTCTGCAGACCACCTTGCACAAGACGCTCTTCCGCATGGCTCACGCAGGAATGAATGAATGGCTGGACGCTGCCTCTTGATTTATACTGCAAGTCGCTGGTCTGCCCTTTTCCACCGACCGGGCCCATGTTGCACACAGTCCCTCATGGTACTTGCTGACTGTACAAAGTGAGACTGGGACTGGGTACCGCTGACTAAGCGAAGTTGGACTCTGGTCCGCTGTGGGCACCACTTGCCCACTTGCCTCTGGTCTGCTGTGGGGTAACGTGAGAAAAACTCGAAAGGCCACTTCCGGACCTTCCGGAAGTCTGTGGACTTGGCCTTTCGGGACTGTAGCAGCTACGACCTTTACATTTTACGGCCTCTACACAACTATGACCTCTACTCAAGAGACCTACAGATTGAACCCCTACAGCTAGCTACACAGATCTACGATAGACTACAGTCAACTACCAAAACACAGATCACAGGTTCAAAACACACAGGAGTCGACATTGATAGGGGGAGGGTAAGGCCTAGGGATCGAGACCTGGGATCTGCATCTGTTACTGCAAAGGTGAAAAGGTGAAGACCGTTTCATTGGGGTACACAGTCTTGTGGACGTCCTTGATATTACCCTTGGGTCTGATAGGCCGCTGACCCTTTTCTGTGGCCTCGTGTGGAGTCTTTGGACGGCCGCAATTTTAGGATGAAAGTGCCTTAGCAGCAGTCGTTCAAACTGCCGCTTCCTCCGACGGCAACAAATTTGGGGGACCCCGCAGGTTCATTAGGGCTACCAGTAGCACAGTTTGAAAAACCGACATAGTGGCATTCTTCAGAGCGTATACAATCAGCCGTTGGCCCACAAATGGCACAGTGGCAAAATTGCAACAGGCTCCCTATCGGCGCGGCGATTGTTTAACAGTCAAAAACTTTTTGTTTTTGTTTTTTATCTGATATTTTTCCTGGAAAGGTCACGACCTAATCTACCTACCCTCTAATTTTCAGAATTTCCTGTTAATTATTCTGAGCGCGAAAAATCGCCAAAATTACCACTTGAAAATCGTGGGACCAGGCCCACGGTTTCGGCCTCCGGTTGCCACCCTCCCTCAAAACCTGCCCGAACTCACCAGTAAGTGCGTGTACTGGTTTGGGGCCTGGGCCTGTAGGCACCCATGGGGGGCCCATTAAGAAAAGCCCCAGTTGAAGGCTCTGGACCCTCGAGAGCGTGGATTCATTGTAATAGGCTCAGGTGAACTTGTGATTTAACGAGTTGCCTTTCCTGTGCGGTTCATATAATAATGATTTTTCCTGGCATGCAGTCGTCATTGCTGAATTCGGGGCACATTTTATTGCTGATGAGTTGTGTTTGAAGGCACATTTCAGTCTAGATACTGTCATAACGAGTGGGCGTTCTATTCGGGTGACAGCGGTAGTGAATGGTTCTCCCTTACATTCGAGTATATGTAGCGACGAGTTTTCATTCTGATGTTGAATATAGAGGGGAACAAAAAAGACGAAAAAAGGACGTAAGATTACTGATGTGCTTTATTTCGTTGCTGAATTCAGGGCACTTTTTATTGCTGATGAGTTGTATTTGATGCACATTTCAGTCTAGATACAGTCATAACGACTGTTCGGGTAACGGCAGTAGCGACGAGTTTTCGTTCTGATGTTCATTATACGGAAAAAATAAATAAAATGGCATAAGATTACGGATGTGCTTTATTTCGGCCAAGTCAACGATAAGTCCGTCTGCTGAAGGTTTGGCACACAGGGACTGAATCAACATGAGGTTCTGTTTCACTGTAAACAAACATTTGACATCATTTTTAAACAGTTTTGATATACGAGGATAAGCTTGGCCAACAGAGGGAAGATCAATAGGAAGCGTGCACTTAAAAAAGTGGATGTGTTATTCTGACTCGATAAAATGGTGAGGATGACAATAACGTCCGGAAAACTGACTTTTTTATCTGGGCGGTGCGGTTGTATGTACGTGTTACAGATGGAAGTTCGGCGAGCATTGGGTGAACTGTTCCGGGCTCGACTTATTCCTTTGCTCCCATAGCCAAATAAAATAACAAGTGAATGTGTTTTCTGCTTATGGGAAATCTGGAGCCCAACTGCCGTTGTTATCGCGCCCCATGCTCAGCCACCCAATCTTCCGTGATCAAGGAGCTGGCAGCAGTTAGTGTCGCACAACAGTTGTAGTTTCTTGCAGGGCTCCTGAACGAGTTTGCTAATGCGACCACTGCAAAATGTTTACATGGTATTACTCCCGTAGGCCAGTGTCTGCCTTGTATCATCTCTCTCTCTCTCTCTCTCTCTCTCTCTCTCTCTCTCTCTCTCTCTCTCTCTCTCCTGTCTCTTATACACACA